CCCTGCCCAGTGCACGACGCCAGAGCACCCGGCCGCCCGGCGAGGCCGAATGATTGGTGGGGAGGCTCGTTAAGCCCGGTCGAAGGCCCTCCTCCTCCTCCCCCCTGGATACCCACGCCTTGGGCAGTTGCTGCAGGGGGTCGGCTGTTCGCCGGCGTGCCCGCGCTCGCGCGGGAGGGGGCTGGCCTCGGCGCCCGTGCGCCATCCCGCCGGAGGGCTCGCTCGGCCCGCCGGGCGCAGATGCTGTCCGCTCGGCCGCCACGGGGATACGACCCCCCGCGATGGCAGAATGTTGCCCCCTCTCCCCGCGTCGCCCCCGCCCCCCTCCCCGGCACGGGCCCGGCCGTGGCCCCCGGGCCGCCGGATCTCCCCGCGCGACCTGCTCCTCGCCGGGGGCGCTCCGTGATGGGGGGCGCACCCTGCGCCGGCGCGTGCTCGCTGCCCGCGCCCTCCCTGACCCCCTCGGGCATCTCCATGCGCGGCTTTCCCGGGCATCCCCGCCTGGCGGAGGGCAGGAGGTAGATCCCGCCAGGGCCCCGGCGATTCCGTGTATATAGCCCCACTGTGGGCGAGCTATTTCGGCCCCCGACGCCGGACGAACTGGCCGCCATCCCGGCACCTCCCCACTCGATCTTGCCACCGCCGCCCTCCCTACAACTCGCCGGGTGCCTGTGCCTCCGCCCCCCCTCCCCCCCTCTCTCTCTCTCTCTCCGCTCGCTGCCCAGCTCCTTCTGCCCCTTCTTTTTCTCTGGTGACTCCCCGACTGTCGGTCGATTGGTGCTCAGCCTCCCGCCGCTCCCCGGCCGCGTCGCTTCCTCGCAGGCCCTCCCCTGGCCTTGTTGCTCGCTGCCCTCTCCTGGCATCCTCTCCGCCTGCTCGGGGCCACCAACCGATCTGCCTCGCGCGCCATCCCTGCCCCACGGGAGTAGGCCGAGCTCGCCGGATCTCTACCCTGATTTGGCCAGCTGCCGCTGCCGCTGCCGCCGCCGCCGCCGCTGCTGCTGCCGCCGCCGCCGCCGCCGCCGCCACCACTGCCTCACCCACAGCCGCCGTCCCAACTATATAGCCACCACCTGCACCACTTCGCCGCCCGGCGCCCGCCCGCACTCCGCCGCCGGTTGATCCGCACGCACGCACGCGCACCCCCCCCCCCCCCCTCCCATCTCCCCCACGGCCGCCCACACCCAGCCGCACTCGCACAGCCTCCACGGTCGCCATGGGGTCCATCTGGTTTTTGGACTTCATGCTGATGGTCCTCGGGCCGGTGCTGGTCATCTGCGGCGCCCTCTACTTCTCGCGCCTGCACCATGAGCCGGTCCGCACGCGCGGCGCCTGGCACAATACCGTCAGCGCCGCGGCCGGCCTGCTGACCTCCGTCGGTGTGGCCCTGGCCGACCACCATCCCCGCACGGACTGCCACTTCAGCTTCGCCGTCATCAACAGCTTCCCGATCCTCTGGTCGCTGGTATGTCCCACCTTTCTTCCCCCCGCCTGCTCCTCGCAGGCCACATGTGTGGCGCATGTCCCCTTTTTGCACGCCCCGCCCGGCCCTGCTTCCCCACCACCGCCCCTGACCATCGTCCGATGCCTCCGGCCGTCGTGGCCGCTCCCCCGCGCGCGCGCGCCCCCCCCCCCCGCACGCATGTGCCCGCTCGTCCCTGGTAGCCGGTCATTGGCCGAGGCTTTCTCCTGTACCTGGAGAATGAGTTCCACTCGCTGACCCTGTCGACATCGTCGGTGGTCGGGGGCGGCGGGTCCTCGCACGGCGAGCCGGAGATCGACGACACCCCCGGGTCCAGTGCCTCCATGGAGTCCCTCTCCTCGCCGCCCCACTCGCCGCCCTTCTCCGGCACGGCCTCCTCCTCGGACGACCTGTCCGAGGTGAAGGGCTCCCCGGACAAGCACAGCCCCCTGGGCGTGGTGTCGCCCCATTCCAGCCAGGCCCTGGGCCCGGTGACCGGGCTGACCGGCGACACGACCCTGCCCCTGGCATCCGGCACCGGTGACCGGCCGGCCAGCACCCACCGCAGCCTCACCTCCACCACCGGGTCGCACCTGCACGCCACCGACGACCTGCTGAACACCCTCGACGACCGGTCCATGCCGGAGCACATCCGCAAGGACATCCAACGCCTGCGCCGGGTGGTCTACTGGCGGAAGACCATCTCCCCCTGGTGGGCCCAGATCGCCATCTACACGGCCATGGTGGCCATCAACATGGTCCTGTCCTTTGCCCTGCTCTACAGCGGCGGTGATCCCGACCGGTACATCGGCCCGCGCACCGGGGCCACCCTCCCGGGCAGCCTGGACGGCGAGTGCAGCCCCCACATGCTGGCCGTCATCGCCGTGTCCACCATGGTGTGCCTGGTTCTGGGCCTGGTCCTGGTCTGGATCCTGTGGAACCGCCGGGATGTGTACAAGATTAAGCAGGAGCTCGGTGTGCGTGTCCTCCCCTCGCCTGGCCTTCCCGGGCCGGGCATCCTGGCCTCCTTGGTGCTCGGCACGGGGCAGCCCCTTGGCCCGGGGTCCTTCGTCTGTCATTGTTTCTTCTTCTCTCTCCCTCTTTGTTTTCTTCTCTCTCCCTCTTTGTTTTCTTCTCTCTCCCTCTCTGTTTTCTTCTCTCCCTCCCTCTCCCTCGATCCCCCCCTCCCTCCCTCTCCCTCCCTCTCCCTCGATCCCCCCCCTCCCTCCAGCTGACTCACGCCCTGCACCATGCCCCCCTTCGCCTCCGGGTCCCCCTGGGGCCCTTGTGCGGCCGCGCCCCGTGGCCACCTCCAAACAGGTCTTCCTCGGCATCGCCGTGGTGGGGTTCATTGTCTTCGTCATCACGGTGGTCGGCGACTGGAACCACCAGGTCTCTTCCAATGTCACGGTGGTGGTGATTGTTGTCTGCAACATTTGGCTCTTCACCTTCCCCTATGTGTTGTCCTTCTCGCGGTTCTTCCGCAAGTTGACCAACTACTCGCCCGACTCGCGGGAAAGCTTCTTCAGCGACTTGACGTCGGCCGGTGGCGCCGGGGCCGGGGTCGACCCGGCCGGCGAATCGGGCTCCTTCCGCACCGCGTCCGGCGTGTACATCGGCTTCGGCACGGCCGATGACCCCGCCGGGCTCGGGGGCCCTGGCATTGGCAGCGCCGGGAACACCGGCGGCAGCAGCCGCTTCCGGGCCCTGGGCTTTGCCTCGCGCCATGCCAACAACTCCGACACCTCCGACGTCAAGCACTACTTCTCCACCGAGATGTCCCAGCTGGAGCATGGGACCCCGCACGGGGGCCGCAGCGGGGTGGCCACTCCGGCCGCGCCGGCCGGCGGGCAGAGCCTCATCGGCGACTCGCTGGAGTCCCTGTCGGCCAGCAACTCGCCGAACACCTCCTGCACCTCGATCACCATCGAGACGACCACCACGTCGGTCGTCAGCACCACCGGGCCGGCGGCCGGCCCGCGCGGCGGCCGGCGCCCCAGCCATGCGGCCCTCGGCTCGGGTCCCGGCTCCTCGGGCGATGACTCCAGCGAGCGGCGCATCCTGCGCTTTGACATCTTCGCGCGCCATGCGCCGGCCGAGGCCCGGCGCTCCTTCGAGGAGTTCTGCAAGATGAGCTTCTCCACCGAGCAGCTCTTCTTCATGCGCAGTGACGACAACTACCGGCGCAGCCACAAGCGCAGCATCGTGCGTCTACCCATATGGGTTCCCTGCTGTTGCCGTGCATTGGCATGGGCCTTTGCGTCGGGCCACTTCCGGTTTCCCGCCCTCCCCCGCTCTCGCCCCCGCCCGATCATGGCTAATGCTGGCTTTCCCCCCCCCCCCCCCCCCTTTGTTCCCCTTCCCCTTGTTCCCCCCTCCTCACGGCGTGCCCCCCCGCCCCCCCCCCCCCCACTTCTCCTCGCCCTCTCCCC